GACGCAGGGTGTAACAATTACAAAACGCCACAAATTACCTCACAGCAAATAAAATGACTTCAGTTAAATCCTGTTAGGCAACTTGGGTCGCTGTTATGACCCTGAAGTCTTTGCTTTGGAAAATACTATTGGATAAGCTGACACTAATATCAGCGGACAAACACTCGGCATGCCTGGGGTTTGCCTAATTACGACTATGTCTCTAATACCTTAGGCGTTGGAAAATAACAGTCCGAGGTTTAAATAGAATTTTATGGAAATTGTTTTTAAAACATATTTTCAAATCACATTTTTGAATTTTCAGAAAAAAATATATCCCACGTAGATTTATAACGGATTTTTATATGCTTGAAGCAACTTTCTATATCTTTTGCGGCAAAAGTAATTTTTATTGTATGTGGTAGCTAAAAACCTCTGAGAATATTGAAAGCCCATAGGTTTTTAGCTAGACATAGTTCTATTGAACATATGCATGATGCATCGGTCACATACCTCGAAGTAGGGTATGAAAGCAAATAATATTTCAAAAATTATGTACAAGGTATATATCAAAAACCTCTGTTTATACTAGACATAACCTCGAACAGTTCAATATTATATCCATGTATCCTTCCGTTCAGACTTACCTGTTTTGCCAGTCTTTCAGGTTGGTTAGTTGGTTCCTTCCAAGTCTAACTCCTCAGTACACCCTCTTATTGCATCCACGTAAAGGGAAGAGTTGCACGTTCACCGAGGTTATTTATCAGACCCAGCGACGACACAGTGTCGACCCCCAGTCGCTGGTTGAATTAAAAAGATTTACGCAATTGAGTAAGACCCGTTAAACCATTCTCTTTACGTCTGTAAGAAGCCGTGCCGGGTTAGCAATATCCGTTCTCTCTTGGCGCTTGCTTGTTTGTGAATCAAGCTTCGTCTACGGTACGGCTTCTGTGTCATTCAGAGGTTGGGGAGTTTTAAGTGAGACAAAAGCTATTTGAATTCTTGTGCGAGTAATATTTGTTTTGCATTTGACACATTTCACGTAACCTGACGTGAGTTCAGTGAAGTAGACGGACATGAATCCGTTTAAGTTTGTTTCATATGTTAAAAACGAGAAAAACAAAGTTGATCAATGGTGCAAAATATCAAAGGGTCTTCAAACCCGTCTCCCTTTCCTTTCCATTCATCAAAAAGAATCAAATATTAAGGATGTAAGTACACGAAAGATAGAGAGTAATTATAGAGTTATTGGTGATATAAGTTATTAATTTCAGGTTTGCAAATAAGAAGACAAAAACAGAAGCCTATAACTGGCGTCTCACGGAACATGTCCGTTTTGTCTTGAAAAGCTTGGCTCACACTTTTTCTTTCATTGAGGAAAGGGCATGCAGTTTCCTAACATAATATCATCGATTTCCATTAAGAATGTATTATTAGTTATCGTGAAGGGTATATTTACGTACCCCATTTAATTATCTGGAAATTACACAGTTAATTGAGCGGTCCTGTTGACCTTTCTTGCCAAATCATATTATATTTGATGTCCATAAACATGTCAATAAAACAAAATAGTCATTCCCCATAGACGGTACGCATGGAACGGAATGTGGTAATCTTATGTATTTTTACTTATTTTACACCTTCGTGTGTGACTAAAATTACTCTCTGGGAGACTGGAAAACACGCACAATCAATCTTTGTATAACTTGTATTCTTTTTCATATCCATTTGCAGACTTGTCATTTTTCTCCAATATCAGTCAAATTCATACAAATGTACACCCTACAATTGCTTATATTTCAGTGAAAGACCCCTGATAGTTATTACAAATCTGTAGGCACTACCAGTAATGTAGTTTTTGGGGGGAAATCTATCTATCTATACGTATATAAAATTATGATCAAATAACTTTCTTTTTATCTGAAGTTTTTACCTCGCAGAACTAGGCGCCCTGCACTGCCACATGCTGCATAGCTTGAAAACTTCCTGACACTGTATCATTCTAAAGACATTGGGTTTTATAATATACAATGCCGATTTATCAATTGGAATGGTGGGTTAGAGACTGGTTGCTAGTTTGAGAAGAATCATTTCCATATCACCAAAGCAGAAACAAGGCATTGGTTATATCAACGCAAGGCATTGGGTATATCACGTGAAAACTGTACAAACTGGGAAATCTACATGCTGATAATAATTTTCTCCTACACAATGTTCAAAGGTTTCCCAAGCGTAAGATTTGAATTTTCTTTGTTGTGCAGCATCATTAAGATTATTTGAGAAGACTGTGGAATAAACCAAAACGGATCTCTTCTGATGGAGTTAAAATTTCTTTGTCAATTTAGATGCAATATTACAATTTGCTTAATTGCACAATCGCAATCAATTTTCTATTACCATGCTTTAAGGATATAAAATTGAAATGCATGTCCGCGATCTCGATTGCCATCATGGTGCACAGCAGGGGCGGATCCAGGATTATTTGAAGGGGGGTCCACGGATGCGAAAAGGACCCCTCCCCCCATTTGGCGGGGAGGTTGAGGGCCCGCTGAAGGGCCCCAGAAATTTTTGGTATTTTAGAGGGCGAACGGTGCCATTTGGTACGGTTTAGAACTATGATTCAGCTAGTCAAAATTCTAATTACAAGAGGGGACCAGAAATCGAAGGGGGGGGGGGTCAGGACCCCCCCTGACCCCCTCTCTAAATCCGCCACTGATGCACGTTGAATTGATTAATGACTGGTGAAGAAAAATACCATTAATGGGGTTTTATGCTTTATTCACGCCTGCATTTAACAAAATACCCTTTTTCCTTTTATAAAATATTCCGTATATTAGTGCAATAAAAATTAACACTTTTAGGGTTAAAGCTCGATTTTTGCCGTTTTATTGATACCATTTCACCCACTTCTGCTTTCATGTTCCATCAGCATAAATGCTCTATGTATAGTTGCTTTGCAAATTGATGGAGAAAGCGATAGGTAAGGCAATAACCAAGTAAGATATGAACACCAAAATTAGCATTGTTGAAGACTAGGATGTAAACTACAATCCAGTGCCATCGTTTGTTTTTACTTTGATTGTTTTAGGAATGAGCCACTTATTACGGTATTGATGTTCCGTTCACAAGGGCATCATTTCGCTTCTTTACTGATAAAATCAGTAGTGAGGCATTCAAGTAAATTTGCTAGCACCAACTTGTTGTGATTTAATAGGCGTTCGAATGGCAATAATAGCTGTTCAGGCGAGGGAGATCTCTTTGGGGTCGATACCACAGTTTTCACCCAAAAAATTCCGGTGTTACATCATCAGCTCGAAATTAGCAGATTCCCCCTGATGTGTGTACAATGTGTCAGGATTACCTCGACATAAGTTGACACTGTTTATTTCCATATATTTAAGTGGATAAAGAATTACGAATCGAACCCCTTTAATGTAAGGAATCCTGAAAGCATATTTTGAAGAAACACGATGTCAGCAAATGCGGTTTCTGTTTTTGTTGTACTCGAAAGTTTATCAGAAAATGGTTCATGATCAGTATCACAGATTTCTAGTGGAAGTTAAGATGAATTGGCATTCGTCACACATTTTACTATGGCAAATTGATTTTTATTGCTACAATCAAACTATAACGACCAGCTGTCCTATTGTTTCACTGTTTAAATACCGATTCTGATACAAGCAAATTAATTTAAAGATATATGCATAAATCCAGTAATATATTCTTGATACGACCTATACTACATTGCAAATTTTCCCTGGTAATTTTAGCAATTTTCCTTTTATCACCAAGGAATACTCTATCGAAAAAATTACTATCAATAAACTTGTTTTGAGCTCTAAATAGTTTTGACTACTTGTTGTCCCTATATAAAAAGTTTTTTATATGAGATAATAGTCCTATTTAAATTCTAAATGAATTTTGGATAAAGCATGATATTGGATTGTTTTTTTATAATTCAAAATTTCATGAGTTCATTTCGATCAGTTTACATAGCTAAGTATTGCAAGAGCTAGACAGCAAAGCTGACAAATATACTGTCACTTTACAGAAACTAATTTAACCAATATTGTTTTTCAAACTCAACCTGCCCTCAAAGTGATGCAGAAATAGTCTGGCATTTATACCCACGTCACACTTAATCGGAATCAGCAGGAATTAAGAAGAATGAGGCTGAATGAAGAATTTTAAAAATTCGCACCACATTCGGGGAAAAAAGTTCAAATTGACCTTAATTCTTGTAAGAGTACCGTTGGAATACACAGAATGCGCTTGAATTCTCCTGGAATGATAAGTTCACTTTCGGCTGTATTAGCTCTCAAATACAGTTCGAATGTAATTGGAAAACTAGGAATATCTATTATGCTGTCAGAAGGCAGTAAGAATATTTAGAATATACTTTGAATGGCATACTAGTGTAGTTCGATTGCTGGCAAAATTAATATTTCAGCTCATCCGAGGCACATTCGAAACATTCTGGCGGGATTTTATACCCCCGTCACACTAGAGGCGGAATGAGCAAGAATGCCGTCGGAAAGACAATTCTTTGTGCATTCCTGGATATTCAAAGAGCATTCTAAAAATTCCGAGTGCATTTCAAATATTTTTACCCATTCTTGTGGTCGGCTCGAATGTTTTGCTCATGTCAAAAACTTTCGAAGTGCATTCCAAGTGGGGTATTATGTGGCAAACAAATGTGTTGGAATATGACAGCGATGACATGGTCAGACACGGGTAATCCAACCAAAGTAACTATTGAAATGATTAGTATTTGTTTTTCCTGTGAGGTATGTTAACATGGTGACATATCTAACAAAATTGCACAATATTTTACCATCAAAAGACTGCTTAATGGTTTGCATATAAGGGGATGGAGGAATTCCTCTGTTGGAGGAGAGGGTGGGAGTGGGGGGGGGGGAGTTCTGATGATCTGATTTGTAGCCCATTCAAATGGGGTACCTAGGCTAATGTTCCTAGATTATTGTTATCAGGATAAGAATAAAAAATTAACACAGGAGTGGTTAAATAGTACACTTTTTTATTTCTAGTACATATATGTAACATATACACTTATCAATACAGATATATTTGTTAGCTAATTACAACCTATTCTTGTCTATCAGTTCTCATAGCAGTTTGGCAATTCAAATCCCCATTCACATGCATTTATTTCCTCTTCCCCTGTGCCCTCAAGTGATTGGCATCAGCTAAATGTGTCATTTGACAATAATTTACAAAGCAGTTGTTTTAAAAACTGATTATACAAATATACACCAAAATATAATTTTATCTTTTTAATAACTTTTCCATCCTGAAAAGTTATTTACTGGAACAACTTGAACAGTTATGCAGTAGGGGCTTTTATGTAGTGTGCACTTATTTGGGATTATACTTTTTTCCTTCTTAATTGCCTGCATGGTGACAAATGGGTAATAGAAATACTGGGACACGCGGGAGCAAACTGAACTACTTTGTCTCCATATTGCTTCACATAGTTTGGAGGTGTCAGTGTTGTCCATGTCTCTATAATCTAAGTCACTGTAATATTTACAATGCTGATATCAAGGTACCTAACACTAAGAGGAAAAAAGGAAAATATTTTACATATTACCTTGTGTGAATAGAAATAAAAAATACACAAGGAAGAATGCAACCATTTGTTCGATTTATAATTTCTGAAGCCTTCCCATGTTGTGATAATCTTTGTTCTGTTCCAAAACATTATCATAATTTCATTCTATCTGTATTTGTATGTATTCTTATGAACATTGTGATATGTGAAAATCGTATCTTGGTGGTGCTGTTATAGCATTGCTCATACATGAATTTACTTTTATAGTAATCTTATGTTAAAATACACATATTATAAGAAGAACTTGAAGAGGTTTATTCAATGACATATAGAAATCCATGCAATTTTTTTATATACCAATCTGTATCAACAGAAAAATTAAGTCATGCATCTTTACTGATCATGTCAAATAACATACTACTCTCAAGAGTATTTCTGTCCAACTCCTTTCTTCCTATAACATTAAGAAGTAAAATAAACTACAGTTTCACATCATCTGGAATTCTTTCAGCAAGCTGTCCCATTGGCCCTTCCTCCTGATACATGAAGCTGTTCCTGCATTTGTTTCAGCATTTCCTGCATTCTTCGAATCTAGTTAAAAGAAAAGTAAAAATGTTACATTCTCCGAGTTTAATGATTGCAATCATTATCATCCTTTAACTTCAATTGAGCAAAGCCATCTTTCAATAGTTTTCCATTATCTAAATGCAAAGTGAATTCTATTATTTTGATAAACTGCACAGAATTTTCTAAATTTTCACAATAAATACATAAATAAATAAAAACAACAAATTATAGTTACATCACAAAAATGCATTTCAATGCATTGTGCATTCTGACTTGTTATGCACTGATCGCTCATTAAAATTTACTTTACCTCTTCGTCTTTTTGCTGAAGAAGCCTATCTGCATCAACAACACCATCTAAACTTGTGCATGACTCTCTTTTTAACTTCCTGAAATAGAATAAACTTTTTTTATTAACAACAAGTCTACATACTGAATTACACACGTGTATTGCATATATTTGTTGAATTATTTGCATCAGTAATGATGAAGTTAAAATAATGAAAAATAATTTCAAATTTCTTAATGTTTTAAGAAAATTATAATCTGCAGAGGCATCTCTTGATAAAAATGATAAGAAACAAAAAGATTTTAAGAATGCTTAATAAAATGTATACAGTTTCAGTTTACAAATCTGTTTCTTTAGTGTTACGTGACAGTAATTTCAGACAAAGGCATGACAGTTGAGGATGTAGGGCACCCCTACAAACCTTTCTCTTTGTAAATCTCTCTTATTTTCCTCTGAAATGTGCTGAGCTCTGTAGTTTTCATAATGAACATCTTGGGTGACATCTTTTAGATCTTGCATGTGAGTGCTACAACAGAAAATTGTAGAAATAATGCACCTATTCAGAAATTTTATCAAGGGAAATGATAACAAGCATTGTACTAGGACTAGACCTAATAGAACCCATAACAGATATTGCTTACTGGCAAAAAGTCAGAAGAAGGTTTAATCTATGACTCATAAACCTACTTGGCTGCACCATAGGTAACCAGAAAAGCACTCCAAGAGTGCACACTTCTGCCAAGGCAGCAATTTTTTATTATTATTGATTATTTATTGATTATTGATCCGGATCACCACCAAAAACTAATCACTTCTAAGTTAACCCATTTCTGACCTGCCCTGAAAATTTCATCAAAATTAGTCCAAAACTTTTTGAGTTATGTTGATGACAAACAAACAGACAGACAGACAAACAAGGGTGAAAACATAACCTCCTTGGCAGAGGTAATAAAAATCAAATTTTATGTGTACTACCTTTATTTGCACACATCTTTGGTATAAACAAAACATACCTGATCAACATCTGACGGAGCTTTAAAAAGTCACAATGTTTGGGATTGTCCACTGAAAAACAATGGTATTTACATAATATTCTGGTGTAAATAATCATCCCATGGTTTTATATGGACATAACTAACAGAGAAACAGACTTTCGACAGCAGCATACTTGCCTTAGGGATAATGTCACCGAAAAAAAAAAAAAAAATGCTACATTTCTGACATTACCAATTAAACATATGAAGATTTCTTAGTTTCATTGTTTCTTAAGTAAATATTAAAAAAAAAAAAATTCACATATAATCCACTTTTACCTTCTACTATGCCCCATGGATAAAGTCTACCTCTAATTTTCTTTCCATTCACCTCCAGTACTGTATTACTGCCAATCACAGAGAATGGGATGGCTAGCTGAAATATAAAAGAAAAAAATCTTTAGTGAATTAAATTTGAATTATAAAAAAGAAGGAAAAGAACAGAGATTATTACAAAAAAAATTTTTTTTTTTTTGAAAAAAAAAACAGGGACTAACTTTGAATGTAGAAATGGATTCATTAACCATTGGTAAGTATGAGGAAATTGGCATTTACCCCAGGAAATTCATTTTTTGGCCAAAATGAACAGTTGTTATCCTTTTAACTAGTTTGGCAAATTAATTGAGAATCCAAATTACCTACAAATCTACTATTTGATGATGAAATAATAAAACTAAGTTCAGGAAATGCTCTAAGATTCATTGGCAAGGAAGCCTGGGGAAGAAGGGGGGGGGGGGCACCTGTCTCAGTCACAAGTGTAACAAGTGGATTATCTGCCTCTCCTGGTGCTATTTCTATTCTGTGTAGTTAACACCCCCAATACATTGTTAGAAAATTGTTGCTGCTGTATGCAATAAGCATGATCAATCTCATAGACAGCTTGTTGGCTTTTTAATTTTATTGCAACTGATGTGACTTTACACCACTAATCACCTCAAAAAATCCCCTAACAAAACAGCTAATGCTGCCCTGGAAATTAATCATTTTCTCTGGAAAAAGTTATATTCTGGCTGACAAGTAATGGAAACCTGCAATATTTTCCTTTTATGTAGAAGCTGCCCATTGACAGCTACTGAACCATATTAATTCAATTTCCAGGTGTTTATGTACACCTTTACTTATGTTGTACCAAGTGAATAAAAAAATGGTGCTTCGTCATGCATTTTTCCCCAACTAAATGCTTTGATTTCAGACAAACAATTCTACTTAAAGAGAGTAAAGTCTGGTCATCTAAATTAAATGACCTTTAGAACATACTGGCACAGATAAGTTATCACAATACCAGCTCCATACAACTATGCATGGACAGTCAGTTAGGGAGAGGTTTTCATAGAGCTGCATTCTGAATTTAGATTCCAAAGAATGGAACTTTAGTTTCTGAATCAACGCTTGAACAGTTTGGTGGAGTTTACAGCAACAAACTTATTAATCTGTGTAAAAATCTGAATTCCAATCTTAATTGCACCAAACAATGGATCCAAGCTAGTATGTAGCCAGAGAATATATGTAAAATAATAATAATAATAATAATAATAATAATAATAATAATAATAATAATAATCAACCAAATATCACACTGGTGAAAAAAAGAATTTAAAGAATTAAATATAGTATGATGCAAAGTATAGCCTGTAATAAATAGAAAGCTTTTGTTTCTCACTGAAAAAAATAAATCTAGAGCACAGGTGTAGGGTCATTGTTTGAGGACAGGATAACTCTGTAAAAGTGTTTAATTGGAAAAAGTAAGATTTCATCTCCCTTTTATCTTGGTTAACATACCTTGAGTTCCTTGTCTTGTTGTTTGAAGTCTTCATCTTCATCACTGTCACAGTCCGGAAACTCATAAATTTTGATGCCATGTTCATCTATCTCTTGAAGTACCTGTCATAAGAGAAGACACAAAAATGTGTTTTGGCTGAAAACATTTGAACCTTTAAAAGGGAAGATCAGAAAATGCTTGCTAGACTGACATTTCAAGAGACAATAATTGCATAGAATACATCAATGTAGGTGTGTGCATGTGGGGATTTGTGGTGGTTTTGGTGTTAGATAAAATGGACCCTATAAGTATTCTGGTCAGTTATTTCACCAAAAGGTGTTTCATTGTGTGCTCATTTAAAAAAATTGATGGATGTATTCATCAACTGGTAAGGTCAATCTATAACTGTTCCATGCAGTACAAAACTAAAAAAAGAAATAATAATAAGAAGAAGGAACTTATGAAGTGAATGAATAAATCAACATTTTTTTAAAAAGGGAAAAACATAACAGAAAAAGCAAGCACCACAAAGACATTTCATTTATCGGGATTCATTCAGTTTGAATCATCACTGACAAAATGTTGCAACTGAATTTGAACAAAAAGTGAAGGGAAAAAACTCATTTTATAAATATAAATGTGTATACTTTCAAATACTGGATTCTGTTTCAAATAAGCAGTACCTGGTTGGTACTGACTGCAAAGTTTACATCACAGCCTGACTCAGCATCACAGTAAAACCATAAAAGTTAATTACACAAACAGTAGAAACATTTGAAATTACTCACGGAAACACATGCTCAAAATAAATGAAAATATTAGGTTTGGAGAAACCTGTGCAAGCAGTATATCTGGCATAATTGGATCACCATACTATCAAGATTTTGTAGGAAATTTTACTGTTTCAGCCAAAACACTTAACTTGCCATAAGCTTGAATTTAGGGAAACATTTTTGTTATATTTGTAGCCAAATTTACATGGGTTGGTATTTAGGTAAGATTTTGAATAGAACAGGGCAGTCTATATATCTTTAAAGGATGCACTGTGCTGTAATGCAGCTCACTAACAACAGAAAGAGTTGAGTTAAATTATTAAGTTAATAGGTTTCGTTGACCATCATTTTGCAACACAATATGGCATTGCACTGTTATTTGCAACTGTACTTGGCACATGATATGTTGTCAGTGCTTCAAATTTTTAAAATGGGAGATATGAGAAAGAGCTTATGTAAAAATGTAAAACTTATTGCCATTTCTTAGATTCATTATAGTGTTTAATAGTGTTACATATATTTTTCTAAATATGTGGCTTCCTTTGTCAGTTCTTGACATGAAAAAAAAATTCCACCATTTTTGAAGAGTGATTATTTAGCAGTGATCTTGGTTTCTTCATGTGTGTGTGTGTGTGTTTGTGTGTGTGTGTGTTGGGGGGAAGGGGGGGGTCCTCAATAACCTCAGAATCAAAACTGTTGGAAAGCTTTGTATTATTTATGAAGTGTTATCAAGTATTTTACTATTAGGTTATCAACATATCGTTGTTGACACATATTGTAAATGTTACAGTACCTATATATATATATATATATTGCAAATGACTGAGTGTCTGTTTGTGAAAGAAGATGAGTGAGAGTGATTTTTATATAGTTTTTTAGCAATTTTGTATTTTTTTATTTTTTGAGATCTGTACTTTTTTGAGATATGCAAAAAAAAAAAAAAAATAAATAAATAAATAAAACTGTTGGAAACTCTGCATATATTCATGCAGCTAACTGAGCTCTGACTGGAATCTGTATAATCTGTAAATGGGAAATTTCACTTACTGAAGGTGCAAATATCAATGCTTATTAACTCTGAATTGCAGACAATTTATCGATGTTCTTTAGATAGGAACAAGTCTATATAAAATTTCTATGTCAAATCTCTAGAGCTAAAAAGTCAACAGTGGCAATCTATCTCAGTGAGTTTAAAAAAGATGAAGTGGAGGAACTTCAAAGCACAAATAATCATTAACAAAAATAGAAAAAAAACTTGAATGTGGCCATATTTGCTAGTAAGGTCTTACACAATGATCACACTAGTGGACACTAGATCCAATGTTATATACTCAAGTGACACAGAAGAGTCAAACTTCGTGTAGAGTTTTAGGCATATGACTCAGTGGTAACCAAAGTTCGGCTAACCTAAATGTGCTGGCCAGAAACTGAATGTGCAATTATAATGGTTGGAATAGGCTCTTTCCCCACTGTTAGCATTTGACAATTTAACAATATTTAACAATAAAATATTTCTACATTTCACTTACTCTGTTTTTTAACTTGCATACTTCAGCAGCAGTCAGTGTGTCAGCTTTGGCAATGATGGGAACTATGTTCACCTTTTCATGAAGTTGTTTCATGAACTCTACATCCACTTGTTTTAGCCTAAAAGTTCCAGAATACCAACTTGCCAATTTACAGCATGTTACAATTACCATTCCTGAGATTGCCTTTGATGTTAACTTATTCCATTCCATTTCCATACAAATTTAACACACACACACACACACACACACACACACACACACACACACACACACACACACTAAAAAAAGAATATATCTGACATATGAAGATATTTCTTTTGTTTAATTAATAAAAAAGGTCAAATTTTCTAAAATAATGCATGGAAGCAAAAATACTGAATGTGTTAAGAAAAAAAATCCCACTTACCCATGGCCACAGGGAGATATAAAGTATAGACAGCAGTGGACTCGACTGTCTTGAATATTTCTTCTATTAACTCCACTTTCATCCTTAAAATACTGTGCAAACTGTTCGTCTACAAAGTTTTCCACTGCTTTGCAGCTAGATATGAAAAAAGTAATAGAACTAAAACAAGCATATATTAATGAATACAGAATGAAGCTAAGGAGCTAAACATACACCAGCAATAGACTGGTAAAAAGTAAAATCATAATACATTAACAGATGGCTTTACATAGAATTTATTGATAATTCTTATTCCACACACTTATGGTTCAGGTAAAGTTTTGGTTAATTCCAGTATAAGTAAAACCATTTGTGCCTTCAGATCATCAAAGAGAAGGATGACAGTGTGTCTTTTTTCTGGCAGTGAGGTTACTTGTCAGTTTCTTTTCATTAATCATTCTGAATAATAATTTCAATCATTCTATCCAACAACACCCATTCAATAAAATGCAAATCTAATTTGAATCAACTGATTACCCTAGAACAGTACATAATATATTTGATTAAATTTGTGTGAAACTATCTAAGCTGTCATTCACAAAATTCATCTCCTGCTTAATATCTACATAACTCCATGTTACATGACACTTGACTTATACATGTATTTCACTAATAGGCATCCTAAGAATGCATCTTTATTCAGCTCCCTACAGTGTATTGACTGTCCAGTTTCTAAAGGAACTTCATCTACTTGCTTGACTTTCCAATTCATTTAATTTTCTTTCAGAGACACACAATTTCCTTTGTCCTTGCTTCCCTGCACTCACTTACCAGTCCTGTGTATTGAGAGCATCACTATAGCCTGGTGTGTCTACCACAGTCAACCTAAGCCTCACCCCTCTTTCTTCTATATCTATTTGGCGCTTTTCTATTTCAACTGTTTTTGTCATTCTATCTGAAAATATGTATACGTTTTTGAAATTAGTACATTTTGTCTTTATTTTTAAAACAATTTCTTAGCAGACATGGAAAGATGGAAGATGCCATGTTTTTTTCTATGTCACACGGTGAATGCCACACGGTGAAGATAAATGACATAGTAAACACACAAAAGTGGGAAGTATTTTCTAGTTTGAATGCAAGTTTCATAGTTGAAATGCTCCCATGACAGCATTTCCTTTGTGCTGTATATTGTATCACATGGCTATTGTTGTAAGAATGGATTAAAGAGCAGGTTTTCTACCTCTGGCTTGAGAAATGTATCTATCATAAAATACCTCTTATATAGAGGATATCAAAGTAGTAAGATAAAATTTCAAAATAAATAAACAAAAAATAATAATAAAAATATTGCAAGAAAATTATTAATAGTAACAAACCCAGAGTAATGACTTAAAAATAATAGGAAATTCTGAAATTCCAGTTGGTTCCATGTTAAAACCTATGCTTAACAGAGTACCTTAAGACGAAAAGGTTTGAAAAAGTGCTATGGATTTGTAAATAATAATTGTACTATGCCTAGAGTTTATTCATTATGTTGTATCTTCATAAAAGTAAATAGTTGTAACTAACCTTCAACTGATGGTATCTGTCTATCCTTGTAGATATCTGTGAGAAACAAACTGTTGATCAGTGTGGACTTCCCTAAACCAGATTCTCCTGCAAGAAAAGAAACACAATACTGATAAAAATTTAAGTAAAACACAAATACCCTGCTACATATACAATATAGGGCAATGAGTGATGGAGAGTGGTGTGATCAGTGTGACATGTGAGCTATCCCTATTGCATTAGTTTTGGAGCAACTGAAAGTGAACTTAAATGTTAAAATCAAAGAGATTAATGTTTTATTTAAATACTCTCTCTCTCTCTCACACACACACACACGCACACACACGCACACGCACATACACACGCACACACACACACACACACACACATTTTGAAGGTACATATTGTAACATAACGCTTATAAGTAGAGAACTGAATTAATTCTGGAAACGCAACCTGGTGCAAATTGTAATCTCATCTGGACCAGAGAAAACAATACATGTAACTAGATATGGCAATAAATGACAATAATGCAGTAATTGCCCTGGTGGGAAGAAAATGTGATACAGAATGATCCACTAGCCTCCAAGGCATCTATTTGCCTTTGCCATGCTGTAGGCTCTCATCAACTGAAATTCCCCGATCATATTATTAGCCATACAAAAGCCTTACTGAATTTATGATAAAGGGTCAAAGGAAATTCCTTGGACATGTTGGCATCCTGTGCTTTATGTGAACTTTACCCAAAGGAAACTTGTATAACCATGATAGTGTTCTAAGGAAATGTGAACAGGCTGGAAAACACCAGTCAAAAAGACAGCTGAACTCTATATAGTGTGTGTCCAAGTTAACTGTGGGCTAAAGAAGGACATGAATGAATAATTCTATAAACAATTGTTCCAAATATATACATTCAAATATAAAATGCCTTGTTAAAGCACTATCATTAGCAAAAAACCTTGAAAGTACTTGTGCCTCCCTCTGTAATGACATATATAATTGTTCAAAAATTTTTATTGCTATGAATAAGAAACCATTATAGAGCTTAACAGTGCCCAGCATAACATTTACCTGTGAAAAACTTCTATTTGCAAGTGGCATGCGATTCAAAACTGTGTGTGTTTGATAGGCAGCTATAAATTTGCCAGAAGGTGATAAGATTTTTGGCAAAATTATATCATGATATTATTTTCATGACAATCAAAAAGTATTAATTACTTTTCCTAGGGTTATTTTAACAGTTCAACAATAGGTTCAATAGTTTTTGTACTTTAAGGCAAAAATTAAAAATCTTAAGCTTTGCCCCTTTAATCTTTTAGTTTTTAGTAATCACAAACATCTTGTAACCAATATTTTCTTTGTAGTTGTCTGAATGCACAAGTGGTCAACATAATACAAAGTTTTCAGTTGTATAATGGAAGTGGGGGTGAGTGGGCTAGATCCACAAATGTCAAGGGAAGACAGGACCGTAGCCTCCGGGGGGGCAGGGGGGGCAGCTGCCCCCCCCTGGGATTTGGAATTTTACACACCACACTCTCCCCCCTCGGTAGCTTCGCCCCCTCGTGTCCGCTTACTGCCCCCCCTGGCATTTTGCTCAGGCTACGGCCCTGGAAGAGATTGCTAAATCATCACACAAATTGCTGACAACTCCAGTTTCTGCATGCATTTGGTGGCATAATTTCACTTTGTTGGTTTAAGTAGCTTGATTTAAGAAATAGGCACTAATTTGAAAGGCCTACAAGAAATATTTTAACATTTTGATAAAAACAGCTAGCATTGTAAAAACGGTATAAAATTTGATAATAATCCCATTGCACAAACACATGTTCTTGAGATTAATATGAATCACTGATGAACAGCACATCAACTATCATAACATGGTTGCAGGGGTGATTTGAATTGTGAAACCTGTCCACTCAAGATAAATCTATTGTGAACAGTAAAACATATCTTAACTGTAAGGTTTCAACCATACCACTTCCCACACACCTTGTTTTTGATATCTTACATACTATAAAGCATAACACACTTCCTATTTTTAATAGAAAAAAATGACCAGTAGCACGTAAAATGTGTCCTTGTTGAATTATTAAGCTGTTCCCTCTAACAATTTTAACTGACTGAAAACAACTAGATAAAACATCTTTCCACAAAACTAAACATATAGGTTTAAAGAAGAAATAAAATTTTGACAGTCCAATTATAATTTCATTTTAATCTTCTTGAGCTTTAATTCTTGTATAGACATAGATCTGAACATTAAATTAGATAATTTGGGTGCACTCCTCCTTCCTCAATCTATCAAGCCCTCACATTTGTGCTTGCAACATTGCTGATATCTATGACATGCCCATGACTATGTTTCCAAATTATTCCTTCTAAAAAGGCAATTATGAAGCTCTTTTTACATCATAACCCTGTCTATTAAGACAATGACCCTGGCCAAAATGGTTGTTGCCCTCACGGTTTCATTTTGAGTAGCATCAACTATGGGAGTACCCCTAGGTATTATTAGAATAAGAAAGAACAGATTCAACACTCAAGTCAACATGATCACTTTCTATTAGTCTAATACATGTACTTATGTATATTGAAATCAAAAAACAAAAACACAACACGTATATTAATAAAGCCATAAGTGAAAAGCGTGCGGCACTGCACTGTTAAGATGCCGAAATTGAATCTAACGGTCGAACATGCACGCACAACTAAATGCAGGGGGCCCTGCCGCAGATGGCGCTGCCGGGTCTGTGCAACTTACTAGGCAGCGGGCATTGTATGATGTGTTTAAATCAGATTAACAATGTTAATCTGCACATATATACCCCTACTATTCAACTTGTACATTGGTCAGGCATGTAACAAGTTAATCCTTTTATTTGAAGCATCCAAGTTATGAAAAACTGAGCTATTCAAAACTAGAACAAATAAAAACTACATAATAGGTAGATAAATGACTCTGATAATAGTCAACACTTGTGCAGTTTCCAAGCCATATTGATCACAGCAAGAAGCTGGTCAAGAACCAATTTCCTGTGGTAGATCTCCTTGTGAACTTGTGTCTTATAAAAAATGTGCAAACCTATTTAAGATAGAAAAAGGTTTGTGGTCAGAAATAGACAAGTTTGAGAAGATATTCATGAGTGTTTAGGATATTAACTTTTATATTTTTAAGACTTTTATCATGATATTCAATTTCTACATAAAAGGTAAAAAGAATGAAAAGAAAAAAAGAACTGTGAAAAGAAATTTACATTGCCTTTAGATACTTAAAGAAAGAGAAAACTTAAATGATTTTAAAAGATGCTGTGGAAAATCTTATTTGATCTTCACTTACCCACAACCATAAGTGTGAAGTTAAATCCTTTTTTAACAGCTTTCCTGTGGACTTGCTCTGGTAAAGAGGCAAAGCCAACATATTCATCCTCAGTCTGAAAGGATAAATCAAATTATTTTAATGCTGCATATTATCTATTTAAAAACAACTTCAAATAAGCTTGATATCAAATCATGATTGGAAACACCAAATGTTATTTTTTACAGTGTGAATACCAGTACCTGCCTTCTCCAGAAGTCCACAGTGTGCCTGAATTTTAGCCTCATTTCACTCCACTATTCATGTGTCTAGGTATCACAAACCTCAGACTTCAACCCAACATAATTTTGTTCTTTTCATTTCTATATTGCACTTCTTAACAATATATTTCAAAGAAGCAAGATTTCTGTTTGCCATGTAAATAAGCAAGCTGAAGATTCACATTTCCCAAAAGATTTTTGTACACTGCAGACTATCTATGCACCATATGGTGCATGTCTTCTTTTACATAACAAAATTTATAACAGGTTGTTCATTTATAAGAGGTATATTGTCAAACAAGGCATTAAATAATATTGCCATATAAATGCCAATCATAACTGTTGCCAGTATTTGTAAGTGTAAAGCTGACAAATCATTTATGTTGCAGAAAGTGAGTTTGTAAAATTGATCAGCATTTAAATATCTCATTCAGTTTTTTTTTCTATGAAAAATCAAAAGTGAAAATGAGTCTTTTCTTGGCCAGATGTGGCAAATAATTCCGGTGACATGAAAAAATACCAAAGAGTGTGGAAAATGTGTTGGAGTTCAATGTTCCTCTGGAGAGGAATTAAAGTAAATTTCACTTCAATTTTGCATACTAACTGTTGGTGAAGAGCTTAAAAAAATGGGGTCAAAATCAATAAAAATGGAGTATCTCCTGCCAATATAAGCCCACTTTTTCTTCAGGGATTTTGAGGGATGCTTGGATACCATGTTCATTTTTTTTTCATATTCAAAGCTATTACACTTGTAGAACTTCAGAAGATAAAATGACTGTAACTTTAATGACAAGCCTGTATAAAAAATTAGATCATCTAGAGTGCTGTGTCAAGATAAAAGTTACAGAGTTTATGAAGGAAGTTAGAAGGTTGGTTACTGTAAAACCTTTAATATATTCAAGTGGAACAGCTGTCTAAAAAGCATATTTCTGCTTCTTTGATCTTAAGTATATGAAATAAAGAGCACACATGAAATCTCTACTCCCCCACAGACAACATTATTGCTTTATTGATAAAGTATTTTTGTATGTAATATTCTCTCCATGGATATTTTCCCCTTTGATGTTGGCATCCTTCAGAACTATTTCCTGAATAGCTTAGGTTAAATTCTGACAATATTTTTTTATCGTAAATTATTCTTATACCAATGCATCCAACACGTTGAAGACTTTTCAGTAGATTTTGGATCTTCATTTGAATGTATCAAATTAGCGAGAAATCAGTTGGAAGTATAATCCATTTTCATTTTACCTTATTGTGTGGTTATACATCTGATTTTTTCCCTGAACACAACCTTAAATAATTGCAATAACTCCAGCATTTTTGCATAAAAAATATATTCTAGCATTTTAGCTTGCATTATCAAGATAACATAACTGTAAGTGAAGAGATTAGCAATTATAATACACCTTCAACAAAACCTTATATTATCTAACACTAGATATTTTACAGGATCTAAAAAGGAGACAATGATGAGATAAATGAAGTTCAACTTGTAGTCAAGAACATGATATTGCAACCCAACACTGATAATATTAAATGGGTCCTTGGTTACAACAGTAACTTAGAGAAAAATACATGAAAATGGGAAATGTCTGCCAGATATGACATGCTTGACAAGATACAGATTTTTTTCCTAAGGTGAGTAAAATAAGTATCATATATATATATATATATATATATATATATATATATATATATATATATATATATATATTGAAAGGTAATTGGGGTGACTTTGGATGCTATAACCATATGTAGCTCTATATTTGGAGTAATATGTTATGGGTACATATGAGCAATAATATACTTGGAGCAAAACTGGAAAACATATAGATTTCCATTAACACAATGTAGCACATTGCCAGTGGTCAGAACGGAAACATACTGATTTCTGGAAAGGAGCCATAATAACAATGGACTTTCAATAGAAATAGTACCAAATAACCTTTCATGTGCACAAGTGACAGGACATGCATTTCCAAGATATGCAAACTTACATATTTGGTTGAAACACCTAAAATTAAGACATCACATTTCTGAGGGCAACATAAAATGAAGATCATACAATGTGTGTGCAGAGTGTACATCCAAATCTTTTAACATAAATGACTGTCAAGATACTTAACTTTGGGAACTAGTCCTGTTTTGCTTAGAATAATGAACTTGATGATGCAATTTAGATCAGTATCCAAAAGTGATTATGACATGCACGATCATTATGTATATTATATTGGTTCACTGACTGAGAGCTTATCCTCTTTACATCTCTTTATTATCACATTGGCCCTATCATCTTCTTCTTTTTGTTGCTGAATCACTGTTGAATGTATTACAATTAAGTGCTAGCAGATAATTTCCATCTCAATAGATTAATATAGAAAGTGTGCAAGAGATATAATTATCTTCTGGAAAATCATTTAGCCTCTATCATACAGAAATATTCACCAATATACTAAAAAACAACCATTTTCTTTAAGACAATTAACATTTGATAGTTTTGGTTAATCCAAGAAATTATTAATAAGGTCCATTTTTCCTTTAAAGGGAAGGGAGGAGGGGGGGGGTAGATAAACAATATTGTATTTCTAAAAGCCTGTGCTCCCACATTGAATCTACCCAAAGACGATGTGCCTTTTATCTTGAGGAAAGCGTCATGAATTCACAAAGACCCATTAAGTAAAATAAAATTCACATTGTGAAACAGAATAGCTTTAAGAACAAAAGATCTGTGCAGTAGATGCCATAGTCGCAAATTTGTCATAAAACATTTGCATCACAGCACTAATGTACATGTAGCACCAACTCTAACATTGAGCACTATCAACCATAACGTTGCTTGACACTGTGCATGCTGCTGTTAGTGTGAACGTATTGTTGCCTTTAAATTCTATAAGTAATAATGAGCATTTCAGATATTTAAGGGAAAAGCCTACCTGATATACCCTCTTCCTATACTTCCTTTTAGATTGGCGCACAGAGGTTCTCTGCAAATTACTTCTGCTCATTATAATTAATGGGTCTCAAGAAAGTACATCCAAAACTTCTCTTCTCTTGTGAAAGTTTTCTTTGTATAAAAACTACCCATTAGACATAGTACAAGTTACAGCACGATGATGCCTTGTCTCTAAACCAGTTATATATATATATCTCAATCACTTAGTTTACACCTCTTTGCTGGAGGCAACTGATGCTCCTCTAGATTTGGGACTACCGTGTTATGTCCCAGTTCCTGTCTAACATGTAGAAGTCATAGGGGCTCTCACATGGACAACAGGTGCCCTCAGCCAGTATGTCCTGGTACTAGATGAGGGCTTAAGGCATATCTCACAGATCTAACTACTGATATGGAGACTTTGTATATATGAGGATATGCAGTGTAAACTAAGTAGACTATCTTATACTGGATGCTACAGAAACATAAACAAACCAAAGATAACACATACAATATTAAAACAAGCTAAATTTATTGAAGTCTCCAGGAGATGGAACCCCTGTGCACCCCTCCCATATTGGTCAGGTATTTGAGATGACAGTAGTTCTCCATACTTGATATTATCACTGTCCACTGGAGCATAGAGTGTGTAATCCTTGCTGTCCCTATACTACACACTACCATAATGGCAACGAAGGTAAAGTATAGTTTAGAGTTTCACAAACAAAAGATACAGGGTTGAACCCACTGCACAAAATCTGAATATATTTGAGATAAATGGACAATTGATAAAACACCAGGTCAGAATTTCTGTATAAACAGAAAGACACTGAGTGATCCTAAGAATATACTAAAGCAGCTTCCCAAGCAAAAAATGTAGTCAAAGATTCCCCTTGATGATGAANTACACATATGACTTTTGGAAAGCTGTCTGTAGAAATTTTTCCCATAATTCCTTCTGTAGGGGAGATAATTAGCATTTAATTTTGCCATTTTTGGACAAGGGTGCATTGTAATGAGTGCCACACCTAGACCCCAATACCGACAAAGCCCAAATTTTACGTGGAAAGAGTTGAGATTATAGGTGACCTAAATCCAAGAGATGGGTATGGAGGCCCTTACCGTCTAGGAGGAGAAGCGGTAACGGTGACTTGGCGGCGGAGCCGCAGGAGCCGGCGGAGCCGCAGGAGCCGGCGGAGCCGGCGGAACATACGGGTCGGGACTAAAACCATGAGTACCGCCAGCGCCTACGCTGGTGGTACAATAATGAGCATTTCAGATATTTAAGGGAAAAGCCTACCTGATATACCCTCTTCCTATACTTCCTTTTAGATTGGCGCACAGAGGTTCTCTGCAAATTACTTCTGCTCATTATAATTAATGGGTCTCAAGAAAGTACATCCAAAACTTCTCTTCTCTTGTGAAAGTTTTCTTTGTATAAAAACTACCCATTAGACATAGTACAAGTTACAGCACGATGATGCCTTGTCTCTAAACCAGTTATATATATCTCAATCACTTAGTTTACACCTCTTTGCTTGAGGCAACTGATGCTCCTCTAGATTTGGGACTACCGTGTTATGTCCCAGTTCCTGTCTAACATGTAGAAGTCATAGGGGCTCTCACATGGACAACAGGTGCCCTCAGCCAGTATGTCCTGGTACTGGATGAGGGCTTAAGGCATATCTCACAGATCTAACTACTGATATGGAGACTTTGTATATATGAGGATATGCAGTGTAAACTAAGTAGACTATCTTATACTAGATGCTACAGAAACATAAACAAACCAAAGATAACACATACAATATTAAAACAAGCTAAATTTATTGAAGTCTCCAGGAGATGGAACCCCTGTGCACCCCTCCCATATTGGTCAGGTATTTGAGATGACAGTAGTTCTCCATACTTGATATTATC